GGTGAACTAAACTTTGTCTCAAATCGAGGCTTTAATCAAGTATTATTCAGGGCCTCTTTTATGAAAATGTATTTCAAATTAATGAATATTTTAATATAAAAAAGACTCAGTTATTTCGAATAAATCGAGAATAAATATGAAACTCCTGATATAAAAGTAAAATAAATATGTTTACTTTCCTAATATGATAACACTTTTAATTTTTTTATTATATTTCTTCACTAACTCTGTTCATTAAAACATTTCAATTATCACGTTTAAATTTAGTATTTGCCAAACGTGTTTTCACTTGGTCATACTTTTGTTCTAGGCTTTATTTATTACTATTTATTTGCTTTTATTCTACAATCTTCTTTCACACATATATTTAGATAGGGTGAATGTTTCTTATTTTATTTGTAAAACGTTTCACTCAAGACAGTTTCCACATGTTTCAGTTGTTAATAAACAAATCATGCAGAAATATCTATTTTGAATTTTCATGTTGTTGTTGTTCGTGACAGTTCAACCAACGTATTATGTATTTATTATTATTATTTTTATTTCTAGTTGATCCAAAGAAGAGGAGATTTTGGAAAACCAGTTGAAAATTTTTACAGATCGTGGGAAGAATACAAAAATGGTTTTGGAAACTTAACCAAGGAGTTTTGGTTAGGTAAAACTTTATATATTTATTTAACAATGGTCCAATACTTTTATATTTCATGTTATTTAGGATTATTCGGTATAATTAATTATTTACTGTCTTGTAAACAATTTATTTATTATGGACTGCTTCTGTCCCAGGAAATGACATCATCTTCTCGTTGACCAATCAAAACAACATGGTGCTCCGTGTTGATTTGGAAGACTTTGAAGGAGGTCGAAGATATGCAGAGCATGATGAGTTCTTGGTACGAAGTGAAATAGAACTTTATAAAATGAGTTTCAAGACGTACAAGGGTGATGCGGGTGAGTTTAAACTATTTGTTCCCATCAACAAGTTTCCTTTATTGTTGATATAAATATATTACTGATATTTAGAGAGATAAGTAGGTGCGGTAGTTTTAAGAAACGTTTGTACATGAAATGACATTTATATAATTGAATTAAAATCTCCATATGTATTGTCTCAAAACGGATTCGTCAATTATTACATCGTTACGTCACGTGATATAGTGATATGTATAATAATAAAACTAATAGAATAATTAACACTAATTAGAAATATTTGAAAAATATTTTATTTAAAAGTGTTACAAAACAATCGAAGAAAGAAACTCTACTCCAATAAATAATACTCTAAATTAGTTCTTTATGTTTTGTTTATTAATTAAAAGAAAATACTTCGATATTATTTTAGGAAATTCCCTTATTGGTCACAACAACATGATGTTCAGCACCAAGGATAAAGACAACGACAAACACAGCGGCAGTTGTGCTCAAGTCTGCAAAGGCGGATGGTGGTATAATAAATGTCACACCACAAACTTAAACGGCTTTTATTACACAGTAGATAAGGTAGACACTTCTGGTATTACCTGGTATCACTGGAAAAACAAACACAACACACTAAAGACAAGCGAGATGAAAATAAGACCTGTGGATTTTATTATTGGTGAATAAAGAATAACTAAGATGTAAATATTTCATTAAAAATTGTTATTTAATTGATAAACAAAGAGAAAAAGACCAAGATTGATATTCTTAATTTGTAATATGTTTATTTGAACTTAAATGTCAACAAACTTTAAGAAATATAAAGAAATGTTTATCACTATTAGTTTAACCTAACTATTTTAGTAAAAAATTAAATGAAATATACGTATTAGATTTAGATAAAGTTTCTAAGTACAAATGATTAGATTATATATGGTGTTCATTAAAGACATGCGAGGTGGAAATAAGATTTTACTTTTGGTAAATAAAGAATAAATAAAATGGATCTTGTTTGTTTGTTTGAAGTTTAAGCACAAAACTACACAATGGGCTATTTGTACTCTGCCCACCATGGGTGTCGAAATCCAGTTTCTAGCGTTGTAAGTCCGTCGAGAATTGTATCTTATACTATACGTATATGATTATACAGACAAAATAGATAAATAGATACTCTTAAGATGTTTTATCTTTTGTGTATAAGTATATTTGAGCGAACACTTAACCAAAAACAAATAAATGAATTTTGGTGAACGTATATGGTTTTTTGAACTAACATGTTGTGAAGAAGCTAAGATGTTTGTATTAAAGTTAAATAGTTTGTCCATAAAATTTGATAATATACAAATATCTGAACGTGCTTGTGTTATAAGTGTAAAGGTCAATTACCAATATTCAACTATTAGATTAGTCCAAGAATTGTCGGTAGGTAGTGTTGACCAGCTACATTTTTCCAAACCTATCAGTGGATTATTGGGGAATGATGGTGTTAATATCCCAAACAAAAATCTGAATAGTTACGATAATTACATTTAAATATATATTCTTTAAATTTGGGTATAAATCATAGTAAAATTTATCAATACAACGATTCAAAGCGTTTAAAATCAATGTGAGTAATTTTGTTGTTACTACGTTTACAATCGTGTATTATTTTATAAATGATGTTTCCCACATATTGAATATTTAGCTGGTAAATTTTATTTATGTAAGAAATGTATTTATAGCTTGAACTTTTAATGAGCTGCTCTTGCCTTTTTTTTTAAATAGGGCAAATTTTCGGACTTCTTACTCTTCTTCTTATGTCTTCTTACTCGAGAAACAAGATATGAAAAATCCAGAGACATTCATCTTATACACTGTCTTAATATCTTAATAAGAGATGAATTCGGCCTAAGAAAAGTTATGATTTGTTTATTGTACATTATCTGTAGAAAGATAGAAATTGGAATGAAAGTGAAATAACTTCGTTAAATATTGTATATTATTTATTACTTGTTGTAGAAAGTAAAGTAGATTTGGTTTAGTTTGTTTTGAATTTCTTGTAAAGCTACACGATGGCTATCTGTGCTAGCCGTCCCTAATTTAGTAATGATAGACTAAAGGGAAGGCAGTTAGTTATTATCCCCCACCACCAACTCTTGGGCTACTCGTTAACCAATGAATGGTGGAAGTAACCATCACATTATAATGCTCACACGGCAGAAAGGGCGAGCATGTTTCTTGGGACAAGGATTCGAACCCGCAGATTGTAAGTTGAGCGCCCTAACCACGTGGCCATGCTAGGACTAATACAGTAGGTAACTTCTGTTTGTTAATTCTTTATACAAAATTTATAGGCATCACTCTTACGTATATATACAGAACGTTTAACTTTAAAATGTATATTTTATAATTAAGCCCAAAACAACAAAATGGGCCATCTACGTTTTTCTCACAACATGTATCGAACCCTCAAGCTTGGCATTATAAACCCTCAAGCTTACCTCTGAGCCACTGAAGCGATAGCTATAAAAACAATAACAATAACCTACAAAATGCGAGTTTCTCTAAGGTAACACTGGTACATCTATTGGTATTACTGTATATCACGGTACATCTACTGGTATTACTGTATAACACTGGTGCATTTGCTGGTATACTTAAGCTATTTTTAATGCCGTATAAAAATACCAGTAAAGTAGGGATGGGAAAAGATCTCCCATCCCAAATGCTCTATACCCTTAGCTCGGATCTTTTTTCCATCCCAACAACGGGTCACGTGTCAAAGGCCATGTCATCGCATTTGTTGACTTGCATTCAAAATTTTATTGAACTACTATGTTAGGAATCTAAATAATAAATTTGGTATCATATTGTAGATTATAATTCAACTTTTACTATTATGCTTTAGTTAATTTCTTAACTTAAAAGTAAATATTAAAAACAACAACACACCTAATCATCGATTTTTGTGTTTGTTACATGGTATGTAGAATGCAGCACTGGTTCAATTAGATGTTTGTGATGTCAAAATATACAGTTACGAATTGGGAACTCGAACTACCAATATTGACAAGCTACAATATAAAATAAGACCATCTTATCTTTGCTATTTGCTAAGATATCTCTCCTGTACTGAATCAAACAGTGGCCCTGCAGCCCACCTCTTTCTATTTTTAGCAACGGTGAACTATATATACACTTAGTTCTATATATCACATGAATAACCAATCTAAAGCTCAGAATGTTCCCCTAGTGGTTTTTCTCTGCCATTTTGACGTGTTATTGTGCTATTTTTTTTTCTTTTCACACAAGATTTGAAACGATGAGGTAGGTCTTTAGTGATTTCGAAATTTCATATTTTTTTAGATCCAATACAGCTTAGTTACTCACTTGATACATTATAGTGGAATTCTATATTATCGATATAGTAATTTATGATTTTTTGGTTATTTATAATGTATATATAAAAACTATAAAAATAAAAAAATTCTTTCTACATCCTCCACGTGGGAAATTTCATAAGGCTTAGCAAGTTGCGACAAGCGGTAAACGAGAACAAAGGTCGTAACTAGAAGAGATAATTGTTTGCTTTACTTCTTTATTTACTGCTCTATGTTTTAATAAAAAATAAGTTTAAAAGCTTATTTGTTAATAGAAATGATGTTTATACATATATAATGTATAATAGTTGAAATCTAACTGTATTTTACAAAATACTAGTCCACTAAAACACAGTCAAGACAGGTTACTTTGTAAAGACTAAAGTTCAGTTATACACTATTGAATACGCTAGATTAGGTAATAATGAAATACAATTAATATTTCTCACAAATATTAACTTTTTGGGGCTTTTCAGAAAAAATTGTTTTTCATCAAAACTAACAAGGTTGTAGCCTTGACATTTTTGGAGAAATTTGGTTAATTTTTTTTCATATTATTGGAGTTAAAACATGTACTTGGTGTACGCTTTTCAAAATGGATCCCCTTTCATGTAAACTCGGAATATTTAAGCCTTGATTTGTATTGGAAATTCCGACTATCTTCGATTTTACAATACTTCTCACAAGAAGTCCTCTTTGTTTTTATTCTGAATAGAGGAATTTCAATTATTTTTACCTTTCCAAGCGTAATAATATTTGTCTTTCAAGTCTCATTGTTTCATTCTTGAGTTTTCCAAAGAAATAAAAGAAACGAAGATTGTACAATTAATTTTACTTTGAAATACTCACTTTTCGGGGGTTTTCAGTAAAATCGTTTTTTTCGTCAAAACTATCAAGGCTATGGCCTTTGTATTTTTTTAAAATTTGGCGAAAAAAATTATTTACATATTATTAGACTGGAAATATGCACTTCATGTAAGCTTTTCGAAATAGTACTTCTTTCAGCTAAACCCGCAATATTCAAGCCTTGACTTGTATTGGAAATTCCGTCTTTCTTCGGTTTTACTACGCTTCTGAAGATAAGAATCTTAATATCTGAATTTCTGAAGGGTGGACTAACTTTGGAGAGTTGCTTTAATAACCATCTATATTTAACAGTTTTGACTCACGATTCGTTGTTTAGAAGTTTTTATATTAAGATTCTTATCTTCAGGGCCCGGCATGGCCAGGTGGTTAGGGCGCTCGACTCGCAATCTGAGGGTCGCGGGTTCGAATCCCCATTCCACCAAACATGCTCGCCCTTTCAGCCGTGAGGGCGTTATAATGTGACGGTCAATCCCACTATTCGTTGGTAAAAGAGTAGCCCAAGAGTTGGCGAAGAATTGGTAAGGATGGACAAACACGATGGCGCTCACGTTCCCCTGACATAAACCTGTGTGAGACATCGTGGATCTTCACAAAAGAATAATTTATGTAATAAGGCAACACATGTAGAAGTATACTAAGGCAACAAAAAAAAACTTTACGAGCTGTTAGACAAGATAAATAAAACCGAAGTATTCTATCTGTTATTAATTTTTAATATGGAGTCAGACAATTTATGGACACCCTGTATATATTATCATCCATGTCTCTCTTAACATTACCTATACAATTAGTATTACTGTACCACACTGGTGCATCTACTAGTATTACTGTACCACACTGGTACATTTACTGGTATTACTGTACCACACTGGTACATCTACTGGTATTACTGTACCACTCTGGTACATCCACTAGTATTACTGTACCACACTGGTACATCCACTAGTATTACTGTACCACACTGGGATATCTACTGGTATTACTGTACCACACTGGTACATCTGCTAATATTACTGTACCACACTGGTACATCTACTGGTATTACTGTACCACACTGGTACATCCACTAGTATTACTGTACCACACTGGTACATCCACTAGTATTACTGTACCACACTGGTACATCCACTAGTATTACTGTATCACACCAGTACACCTCTATATTTAAACCGTTTTTAAAGCCGTATAGATATAAATGTAGGATTAAAGAGTATGAAATCGTTTCAACTTCAACCTGTCTTGACATATCTAACAATTTACCCAAGAGAAACTCACACTTTATAGGTTATTATTATTGTTTATGTTTTGTATTTATATCTCCAGAATCTCAAAGGTAAGTTTCAGGGTTTATGACACCAAGGATGGGGATTCAATACATGTTGTGGTCAAAACGTAGATGGTCCTTTGTGCAAACTTGGGTTGAATATAAATTAAACATTTTAAAGTTAATGGTCAGTATATATACGTAATAACGTTGCCTATACACTTTGTATAAGTAATTAACAAACATAAGTTTTCTCTTGTTCTTTCTACAAGAAATTTTAAATATATAATCTTTAACTAAATAATTTTATTTTCATTCAAATTTCTATGTTTCTACAGATGATTTACAACAAAGAAATAATAACTTTTCTTAGATCGAGTTCTTCTTTCATCAACATACAAGCTGA